GTGCACCTGCTGGACTGCAGCAAGACTTCTAACATATGAGGAAGGAATGCAAGCCGGTCAATGGGCAGTCTGGGTCCACTGTGCTCTGTTTTCTAGGAGACCGCAAACACAGAAGCTGGGCTGCCAGGGGGTTGAGGCAGGCCTTTCCTGTAGACCTGGAATTCTCATTTCCTTGAGTCTACCACAGGCAAGGGAGACTACAAGTTTTGTCCATAGCAAGTTAAGAATGAATGATCTTGACTCTCAGAATATCGGTCTCACTTTCCTACCCGCCAGTTTATAAACATCTTCAAAGGGCTGGCGCTAAAAGCCTCTTTCAGCATCCCTTCTCTGCTCTGGATTGGAGCCTAAGGAAAACCAACGCAATTATGACCTTCCTGTCTGTCTCTTTAAAAAGACTGTGTGTGGGTGTAGTGCGTATGTGTGTAGGGGTGGTGTGTATGTGTGGTATGGTATGGTATGTAGGTGTGGTGTGTATGTGTGCAGGTGTGGTGCACATGCTCACATATGTGTGTGCTGTGATATGTGTGCATAGGTTAGAGACACGTGAGGAGCTGGTCCTTATCTTCCACTTTTTTGATATGTGTGCATAGGTTAGAGACACGTGAGGAGCTGGTCCTTATCTTCCACTTTTTTGATATGTGTGCATAGGTTAGAGACACGTGAGGAGCTGGTCCTTATCTTCCACTTTTTTGATATGTGTGCATAGGTTAGAGACACGTGAGGAGCTGGTCCTTATCTTCCACTTTTTTGAGGCATTGACTCTTCCTTGCTGCTGCACACTCTAGGCTAGTCAGTCCCAGAGTTTCCAGGGTTTTCCTAGCTGTGAGTCCCAGTCTTCCCAGGAGAACTGGAGTTGTGCACTACCATGCTTAGATTTATATTAGTCCTGGAGATTCGAACTCCAATCCTCCTGCATTTGTGGGGAACACTTTACACCTGAGCTACCACCCCAGCTCAGACCTTCCTCTCTTTAAAGAAAGTGGACCGCCACATTCCAACCATGACTCAGTGACTCAGTGAGACAATTAAGGAAGCCAGGAGCACAGGATAATAGGATCTACACATGAAAATGAGGTTTCTCATGTGGAGGGCCCTTAGGGACGCTAGATTTCTTCTGTGTTTCCTGGCATATCCAAGGGCAACAACAACAACATTTAAAATGGGCTAAAGGGAAAGTCAATTTTGTGGGCCACTGAAGAGCAAACACGGGCAGATCCGTGCAATGTGGGTCCTCTGGCTGCACATGAAACACACCACCATCTAGGGGCATCTGAGTGTCTGGCTGGCTGCAGGAAGCCCAGGGACAGCATGACTTGACGCAGGACCACAGGAGACCCTGTTGGTATCGATTTTCTTGTCTATACCCTATAAAACACACCATGTTCCAGCTTGTTCTTAAAAAGATTCATTATAGTGGGTTTGGGGACTGTTTTACAGGAATGTCTAAAGATGAAAACAAGCTGAACCCTGAAAATGACAGTCTTTAGTAGGGAGGCCAGATTAAAGCTGGGCCCCAAGTGAACTTCACACTGTGCTTCAGGCTGGTATAGTCCCAATATATTACTGACCTAGGAAATGGCCATCCCTTTCTGCTGCCTTTCCCCTGGGTGCCATCCTAGGTCAAAACAGGTCTCTATGTTGCCAAAGGCAATGAGCCTGTGCTGTGGAAATTTCCATCTGGAGCCCATAGAGTTCTCCAATATCCCCCTGCAGGCAGATGCCTTTAAAAGGCAGATCAATAATTCGGTTTCCTTTCTGTAATTCAATTTGCTGTCTGCTGTGTTTCTGGGCCTTCTTGTTTAGCATGGCTGTGGGCTCACACCTGGGCCATTTAGCACATGAGGGAGCATCTGGAAAAGCCACACGTGGTGAAGTCTAGTTTCTGGGATGAAAACCCAGAGGGGAGGCTGTTGTGATAAAAACAAGACACACACTTTAACTACCCGCTTTTAGAAGGTCCCTGGCTTCCCAAAGCCCAGTGCTAAGTATGACCTTTGAGAAGCCCCAGGCAGCAGACGACAAAGGCATGTTTAAAGTCCCTGTCTGTGTCCTGATATCAACAGGGCAGCCGGTCCTGTCCTCAGATGAGAGCAAGTGGGGAATGAGAACAGTTCTCGCTTGTCTCAGATGCTGGCAGACGGCCAGAGAGCGTCAGCACACCAGAGCCACTGCTGCCAGGACCCATGGTTGAGTCCACACCAAAGTCACCTCCCACTGTGGGTTTGGGGTGAGGTGACTGAAATGCTCTTGACGCTGAGCTTCGTTTTCCAGGCTCTGGACTGGGGCAGTGTTAGCCAGAGCAGGACCTGCAGTCTCCTGAGGAGGCTGTCAGGCAGATCTCCCGGCCCGGTCCCACTCCAGAGACAACCGAACAGTGATCATGACCTGCACCTGCCACTCACTGAAACAAAGGAAGGAGCTGAGCAGAGCTGAAGAGCCCAGCGCCCTGCCCTGCCCTGCCCAGCCCAGCCCTGCCCTGCCCTGCCCTGCCCAGCCCTGCCCAGCCCTGCCCTGCCCTGCCCTGCCCTGCCCTGCCCTGCCCTACCCTGCCCTGCCCTGCCCTGCCCTGCCCTGCCCTGAGGACGGTGTAACCTGCAAGGGTTAGGGGCATGAAAAATGATGTCTCATTCCCACCTGGCCACATCAAACTGTCCCAAACCTATGGTGGGATAGGACTACTAAAAATGGGAATTTTAAAAATTCATGAGAATATTTTTCAAATTTTATAAAAATAGATAAAATACGTAAATGAAATAGTTAATTACTTAGAAAATATTATTTGCCAAAAGGATTCAATTACCAATAGAAAGTTTTGGTAGGCCACTTTTTACAGAATAAATATAGAAAGATTTATAAGGTTTTTTTCCACGACAAAAGCACCAGCCCTAGGATATAAAAATTTTCAAATACCATGCATTTTGGTATATAAAAAAATTGAGGTGGATTTCCTAATTATTTTCTGAAGCAAATACAACACTGATGCTTAAATATAACACAAATATCAGTGAAAACCCCTAAGATAAATATGAGCCAGTAGATTCAACATCTGCTATGATATGAGGATTTTCCTTGAGAAGCATGTGTTGGGAAATCATTTAATTCCCAGTGCAGCATGGTTGGGAAGTTAGTCCCAGTAACGTTCTAACTTCATGAGTGGGTCAGTGGTGTTATCTCGGGAGTAAGGTCATTAAAAAGACTGAATTCTGTCTCCCTCAGCTTTCTTTCCCCTGCCTTTTTTTCCTTTGAATGAACACAACAGAAAGGGTACCATCAGATGTAAGCCGCTTGACTTTTAGCTTCTTCATTAAATTTCTTGGCCCCTGACATTCTATTACGATAGCATGAGATTCACTCAGATAACACCATTTTAGAAAACAATCCAATGTGACCAAGGGGGAAGATTCGTCCCAGGAATGCAAAGATGGTTCAACATCACGATAACATACACTGTGTGAACCGCATCTGGGAGTACTCATGCAATCACCTCTGCTAATGCTGAACTAAACAAAAACCTAAAAAGACTTGTGAAACTAGAAATCTTTTTGTTTGTTTGTTTGTTTTTGTTTTTCAAGATAGGGTTTCTCTGTGTAGCTTTGGAGCCTGTCCTAGAACTCACTCTGTAGACCAGGCTGGTCTGACGAACTCACAGAGATCCGCCTGCCTCTGCCTCCCGAGTTCTGGGATTAAAGGGTGTGCCGCCACCACCCGACTTAAGTCCACATCTCTTAATGAAGAATGCCTGGAGTCATTTCCAGTAAGACTGGAAAGTCTAGGGAGCCCATTCTCTCCACTACTGTCCATATTGCGCTGCACATGTGAACTGAAGCAGCCACATAAAGGAAATCATGAGAAGCACTGAATTCCAAGACATACAGTAAAATTTATGTCTATTTGTAGATGCTATAATAGTGTATCTATAAAATTTAAGAGAGTCTGTGTTCAAATTAATCCAAGCAATAAAAAAAACTAAGCTAGTTGAAAGGTCATAAAATTAAAGCACAAATCCCAGTAACTCTTAGATACACAAAAATAAGTAAAACATGTAATTATGAATAAATCCCCACTTACATTAGTAATGATAAAATGCACAGAAATACACTTTTCAATGTGCCTGAGAGACAAAGCAGACATGAGCAAACGGGAGGGCAGCCTTGTTCTTGGGTTAAGACTCAACATCATATGATGTCAGTTTTCCCAAAATTATTTATAAATACTTTAATAAAAATGAACTCTTTATTATATATATAAGCTTTATATAAACAATCAAGTTTCATATATATATACATATATATGCATATATATATATATATATATGAAAAACAATCAAGTTTGCAGGAACCCGTTGTTTTGTAGGAAAAGCCATTAAACCATTCTACAGAATGTCTAGAACTGAAAGTGTGAGATGTTGGCACCTGTATAAAAGGGGATTAGCAGACTAGAACAGAAATCCAGACACAAACTCAAGTCCATGTGGGAATTTAGTGTATGGTGGAGGTGTTATCCTGAGTCTGTATCTGGGGCAGTGCTGGGCTCTTTGATGAAATGGCGATAAAACACACCAATATTCAGTGCATTTCAGAGGTGGAAAAAGATAACATGAGACCTTATACAGTTACATAAAACCAACCAACCAAACAAACAAACGGAAAACTCCAGGTTCAAAAGAAGAGCAGGAGGAACAAACACAAATGAATTCCTCTGTGGACTGGGTGTGCAGAAAGACCACAACGATGAGAAAGGCTTAGTGAGTCATACTAGGACAATTTTAAATATTTGCACGATCAAACATGACTGACAATTCACTTTTTGAATGCATGTCCTTTAGAGGAACTCTTTCCCGCCCTACCCCCCAGTGTCAGCTTAAATCTACCATTAAAGTGATGCCACCTTCCCTAACAAGCCGTTATAAATTTTCACTTAAGCAGTACGGTGGGGAAGGACTGGGCATGGGAGGTGAGGGAGAGCTCCCTTTGCGTCGGTGCCGGCTCCCACTTTACCTTCTTCAGCTTCGTGTGTGCTGCGCTGTGGTTTCCCTGTGCCAGGTCTGCCCTGCCCAGGACTCGGTATGTCTCTGCCACCTCGGGGCTGAAGTCACCAAATGCTCCTACTTTGGCTTCCAGGGACTCTCTCAGGATCATGGTCGCTCTCTGAGAAAAGGACAAAATGCTGTGTGGTTTAAAAGGTCAAATGATGCTCAGTGGTTAAGGGGACCTGCGATTGTTGCTGAGGACCCAGCTTCGGCCCTCAGCGCCCCGTGGTAGCTCACAACTTCTGTAGGGGATCCATCATTGCCCTGCTCTGGCCCCTGCAAGCGTCAAGCAGGCAAGTGTTACACAGATATACATGAAGCAACACAAACACACACACACACACACACACACACACACACGCACGCACGCACGCACGAAGGTAGAAATAAATGATTTTTTTAAAGTTTAAGGGTTTAGTAAGATCTGTAAGATCTGTGCACCTCAGGAAATATGAATTGATACACATTGAACATTTCAGAGAAGTGTTCTTAAACCGAGGCAGTGTCTTCTGGGGAGAGAAGGTACAAACTATGAAGAGAGAAGGCAACATGGGCACTGTGCCAGCTATGGCTAAAATCCGTTCCACTGAGCATCAAGAGCTGCATGGCACCGTGTGTGTCAGGGGCTCAGTTTATGTGTGCTCTAATTTGCTCTTTAGATACATACAACTTTATATTCTTTTGACCCAGGAGGAGGCCCAGGCACAGAGCAGCAGCTGAGAACATCCTCGTTCCTATAGGGGCTCCTCGATGGTGGAGCTCATCGAGGGTGCAGCCCATCGAGGGTGGAGCCCATCGAGGGTGGAGCCCATCAATGGTAGAGGTGTAGCCCATCCAGAGTGCAGCCCATCGTGGGTGGAGCCCATCGAGGGTGGAGCTGGAATCTGTTTCCCTAGCAGATTTTAGGTCCATGCTCCTCTCCCTTCCAGCACACTATTGTCGCGCAAGAGCAAACTAAGCTGCGCCTGGATCATCCTTCTGGACTTTGTGTTCTCACGGTGAATGCTCAGGAAGCCAGAAGTAAACATTCCATGGAGCATGACATTATGTTTGTTCTATTTATACCAACATGGAATAGGAAAATAGGAGCTGGTCACAAAATAATATTCCCAGATTACTAATTTTTGCAGATACTAAGACATACAGGAGGAAAGTCTGAACTTCCAACACATCCTGAAATTTTTCCTGGATCTTCCACAATGAAAACATAGTTATGACTGCACAATGTGAATGCTGAATTCAACAGCCAAATAAAGCCAGGACCACAGAAAGGGCTTCCCATAGCATAACCCTGGGGTGGGTGGATGGGGGCACATCCCGACTCCATGCCACAGATAGGCAGACGTGTGAATGAGGAACATGCCTCCTTTTGGGCAGTTACATGAATTAGGGACTGGGGTCGGCACAATAAGGGTGGTGATGAGCAGAAATCAACTTCTCAGGCAAAGCAACCGTGTAACTTGCCAAGTACAGCTCATTGCAGTGCTCAGACCTGCCTGTGCCCATCTCTTCCCAACACCTGTGAGCAAGGACTTTGACAGAAGCAAGAGTTGGATGAGGTAGCTTTCCCATGGGATTTCACTGCTGGGCTTTGGGAAGCCGGTCAGTGATGGGGAGAAGGGCTGGAGGTCCTTCTCCCGAATGAATGAAGCCTTTAGCGTTGCTTCAGTTGACTAGGGAGACTAGAATGGATGTGTATCGAGTTACAAGGCACATTCTGATGACAATGGAAAACAGATGGGAAAACTTAATGGGGAGAACCAGAATTACTAAGACCAGTCACAGTGGGGCAGTTTTAGAAAAGGGCAGTATGGGCTGGGGAGATGGCTCAGTCTTCAAAAGTACCTAAGCATAAGGGCCTGAGTTCAATCCCCAGAACCCACATAAACATGCTGGCTGTGGTGATGTGCACTTGTAATCCCAGAGCTCGGGAGGTAAGGACAAAAGGATCCTGGGGTTTGCTGATCAGCCACTCCAGCCTAACTGGTGAGCTGCAGGCCAAAGGAAGATCCTGTCTTAAAGGAGATGGGAGGCCTCCCTGAGGATGGCATCCGAGCTTGTCCTCAGGCCTCCACATGTGTGGAAATAAGTGCGCACACATTCATGAAAGTAAGAAAAAGCTACTATTTCAGGAAATTAGCTTAGGGAGAGAAACAAAGTATGCCTAGAAATGTCAGTAGAGCTGGGTGGTAGCAGTGCACACCTTTAATTCCAGCATGTGGGAGGCAGAGGCTGGAGGATCTCTGAGTTTGAGGCCAGCCTGGTCTACAGAGTGAGTTTCAGGACAGGCTTCAAAGCTACAGAGAAACCCTGTCTAAAAACAAAAACAAAAACAAAACAAAACAAAACAAAAAAACAACCCAGCAACAAAAAACAAAACAAAACAAAATGTCAGCAGAGTCTGGACACTGGAAGGGCCATACCAGTTTTGTCTCGAGGGCTTTAAGGTTCATTGGAGAACCAAATGAGTGTTGGATGATCAGGTGTGCTTTCAAAATCTGAACAATTAGACAAGTGCAAGTGGGGATGAGCATCTGGGAAAGGGAAGAGGCTAGAGTGGTCCTGATGAGAGGATGCCTGGTGGGAGGGTAAATGTTAAATCGTGTGTATGCTGAGGAAACTCGGAGGTGAATGAGGAGCCTGCGAAGTCCCCCAAGGGCTAAGATGGAGTCTCGGGCAGGAATCTGAGGCCTTAGCAGGGCTCCGTGTCTTTGGTTGACTGATTCAGAAGAACAGTAAAACACTATTTGTTATGGTGACTGTGCATCTACTCTGGCCTGACAAATGGAATGAGTGCAAATCAAATCCCGTGGTCCTTAACCGAGAGAAGAGAAGTCAAGGATGAGGAAAGCGCTGTGGGGAGGAGACTCCAGACAACAAAGAAAGCCCACTTTTCATCTTCATCTTCAAGATCTGCTATGCTAGACTGAAAACACACACACACACACACCACATACATACACACATACACACCACACACATACATACCATATACACAATACATACCACACCACACATACACACACATCACACACACACACACCACACATACACACCACACACATACATACCATATACACAATACATACCACACCACACATACACACACATCACACACACACACATACATACCACATACACACACATACCACACACCACACACACACACACACACACACACACACACACACACACACACCCCTCTAAGGTATCTATTTTCTCTTCCTGGAACTGCTCTGATCTACAAGGAACAGTTAAATTTTTTAATATAATCTAAGCTCTGGTTTTGCCCCACCTTTCTGAGCAGTGTTGAGCATGCCTTGACAGACCAGCAGCAGAGACAGTGAGCTGAGGCCTCTGTGCTGGGTAGCTTTCATTAAATATGGAAATTCCATCCGATACACAGAAGGGGAAGAAAGGAATTGGCCACACTGAGTGCTCCGACCATCCCTTCAGGAAGAACCACGGACTGTAGTGAGTAGGGCTTTGCCTACTGAGTTCTCAAGGCTCTCAATCCGTTGTGGCCTTGGTAGCTGAGTGTAGCATTTACTTTCTCTCTGTGTTGTTTCTGAGAGGAAGCTTGTGGATGCTGCCTGAGAGTGGCTCCTTAGTTTACTCACCTGGGTCCCTCCAGAGGCTAGGTCATACCCTGTACATACTGGGTGTTTAACAGATGGCCGGAGGCTGAAGGAGTCTCTTTGCATCCCGTAGGAACAGCCTGACAATTGCAATCTAAACTCACTTACTTCTTTTTGCCCAGTGATCTGCAGAAAATTGCAAAATTCATCTTGAATGGAAAGGAACTTGGCTTTTCCTGCGCCTTCGGAATGCTTCACATGAGTCATGCTTTCCTGAAAATACTGCTCGGCCACATCTGAAAAGAGCACAGAATACCATTTTGAAAATAGCTCAAAGATTCGAAGCAGAGATGGAGCAAATATGCTGTTAATGACGGTGAAAGGTTTAAAAATAACCGTTTGGAGCCAGGCGTTGGTGGTGCACGCCTTTATTCCCAGCACTCGGGAGGCAGAGGCAGGCGGATCTCTGTAAGTTCGAGACCAGCCTGGACTACCAAGCGAGTTCCAGGACAGCCTCCAAAGCCACAGAGAAACCCTGTCTCGAAAAAACCAAAAAAAAAAAAAAAAATAACCGTTTGGATAAGAGAAGCCAGTTCGAGGGACTCTCCTGTACTCTCCTGTGCTCGTTAATCCACTTGTTTTATCAGAAACAATTTTCACCTCAGAAGGATATGGAGAGTTACTTTTCTTGTTTTTCAGACGTTTTAGTGTTCTTGGTGATATGGGGGGGCAGAGGGTGGGGAGAGCTATCCCAGAGCTGAGCACACTGGGATATTTCATTTTGAATAGACCATTTTCTCTGCCTAGAAATAGGTCATTCCTCACAACTCATAGTTCTATAGATTCTAACTGTATATTTCTATAACATACATACACACCAAAAAACAAAACAAAACAAGGTTTAACCCACAGAAACAGCTGATCTGAACAAGGGGGAGCTCTTGAACCACAGACTGATGGCTGGGAGGCCAGCATGGGACTGATCCAGACCCTCTGAATGTGGGTGTCAGTGAGGAGGGTTAGGCAATCTATGGGGCCTTGGGTAGTAGATCAGTATTTATCCCTGGCATACAAATGGACTTTGGGTGCCCATCCCACAATGAGGGATGCTCTCTCAACCTGGACTCTTGGGGGAGAGCCTAGGCCCTGCCCTGAACAAAATGACAGACTCTGAAGATCCACCATGGAGGGCCTCACCCTCCCTGGGGAACAGAGTGGGGATTGGGTGGGAGGTTGTGAGGGTGTGGGAGGAGGGGAGGGAGAGGGAGCTGGGATTGACATGTGAAGCAAGCTTGTTTCTAATTTAAATAAAAAAATCTTTAATAAAAAACAAAACAAAAAACCAACAACAACTAGAAAATCTAGCTGATATACCAGTGAAGAAAAATCTCAACCATTCTAAACTCTTAAACACACTGATTAATAGAATAAAAATAGTTTGACATAAATGACACTCAGAAGAGCAAGAGAAGGAAGACCGCAGGCATGGAAAATAGAAAAGGAACTGAAAACCAGTGACTCCACAGCCCTCTGCTGTTGTAACAAACACCTGAGATAAATCACACAAGGTGAGGAGCTTAGCTGAACTCACACTGTTGGAGGTCCCAGCCTGTGCCCCAGCCTGTGGCTCTGCTGCTTCTGGTGAAGATAATCAAGGAGGAGCTGGGCTCCCAATGTCACTGCCCAGAGGTTCTGCCACCTATCAATGGTGCCACAGGCTGGGGGCCAAGCTTCTACACGGGGGTCTTGGGAGGATGCGGAGCCAAACAAGGAACTGAAGCTTAACAGTGAAAGGAAAAGAATCAGTTCAGGACCCCCAAGACCAAGCTCTCAGCACAAAAGAGATTTATCTGTCCCAGAGGGACAGAGGACAGGGGATAAGAGACAAAGACAGGATAGAGGACGAGGACAAGGGAACCGGGGGCAAGGCTATTTGTCCCACAGGGACAAAGGACTGCCTCTGGAGAGAGAGGAGACAGGCAAATGGCAGTTTATAATTGCAAAATGGGAAACCAGGTGTTACGTGGAGGTTTTAATTGGGCATGTTAATTAGGTGAGCCAAAGTGGGCTTCTGATTGCTGGACTTCAGTACTTTGACAGTTGGACCTTGGTGGTCAGCCTCAGGAGGAGGTGGCAGCCAAATAAAGGAAAAGACCTTGGGGGCTAGCTGCAGGAATGCAATCTAATGGTTTTTTTTTTTTTTTTTTAGCAAGGTAGAGGGCACAGGGGAGAAGGGCAAGGCCTGCCAGAGCCAGGCTCACCACGCTCGAGCTGCCAGAGTCCCTTCAACAGTCCATGAACCTATTAGAAAACAGTGTGTTCACTCAGTGTTTGCTTTTCCAAGCCTGAGCAGCACTGGGGACGAGAAGCTGAGTGTAGCTTCCTGCAAAAGGCCAGCCTGGTGCACTTAAGATGTCTCCACTGCTGCTCATCCCTGAGGCTCTGGGCCCAAGTCTTGAGTATGAAGTGAGACCACAGGTCTCTGCTGGCTTTTAGAAAGAGAGATTATCCCTTGGGTCGATTCAATCTCACTGGCTTTTACTGTGTTGCTTTGTTGTTTTGTTTTGAGACAGGGTTTTTCTGTGTAGCTCTGGCTGTCCTCTGCCTCTGGAGTGCTGGAATTAAAAGGCATAGAGAATTTTCCCCAGCTGGTGGCAGAAAAAGAAGTCAGAGATACTGGAGGTTGTTACAGTTTGGGCCTGAATTGTCCCCCAGGCTCATATGCTAAAGGCCTGCTTTCCATCTTGTGGAGCTATTAGAAGGTGGTGGCACCTCTAAGGGATGGGGCCTAACGAGGGAGTCAGGGTGTGCTCTCGAAGGTAGCATTGGGACCTGGGCTCCCTTCTTTTCTCTCGCCTTTCTTCCGGCTGCTATGAGCTAAGCAGTTTGCTCTGCCACAGAGTTCAGCCTCCCCACAGGCCCAGAGCAAGACAAATGAGCCAAGTAAGCACTCCCTCCCATTAAACTGTCTGGCTCAGGAATTTGTCACATTGGCAGAGAGCTGATGAGAAAGAAGTTCTCCATGGCTGACGTGGACCCTAGAAGAGTCACTGGCCAACAAGAAAGCAAGGGCTTCAGTCCTGCAGCTGCAAGAACCAGGGATCTGCAAACAACAGGTGAGCGATCAGAAGAGGGCGGAGGCCCGGGTGACCACGGAGCTGCTGACTGCTTATTTGTAGTCTGAGCAGAGAAGCCAGCTTTGCTGTGCCTGATACCTGACTCACAGAGCCAGCAGCTAACAGACAGGCACTTAAATAACTAGAATATATTAGTGTTTATGTGGAAGTGACGAATGCGTGTGTGCACACTGGTGAATGTGTGTATGCTTGCATGTCTGCACGCTTGCATGTGTGTGTGTCCCCAAATGTGGAGGCATCCATGCCCATGTGACAACTGAGGCCAGAGCCCGACACTGTGGCATCTCCCTCTGTTATTCTCCACTTCGTAGTTTTGGTAACACTCCGAGGCTAGGTCTTCCCTGTTTGTGGAGATTTCTGTTTTGGTTAGAGGAACTGGACAGGGAGCCCCGGGATCGGCTGGCCCCACTGCTGGGGTTGTGGTTGAGGACCGCCATTCCTGGATTTTATGGGTGCTGGAGGTCTAAACCTAGTCCCTTGCTCTTGTTTTACATGAGTTTGGAATTAAACAAGTTTTAAAGAGCAAGCAGGAGAAAAAAACAAATACAGCCAGAGAGATGTTCTAAACGTTGGGTTCCCCTTAGATTCACAGAAAACTCTAACCTCCAAGGGGATGGCATTTCCGGGGCAACTGTGTCATGAGGACGGGGCCCTCACAGATGGGACATGGGTGTCTGCGAGTGGGACCCTGGACAGCTGCCTTGACCCTCTGTGAAGAGCCCGTGAAACACGGCTGTCTGTGAGCCAGGGAGCAGCTCTACCTTGACCCTGAGCTTCCCAACCTCCAGGTTTTGAAGAACAAATTATTAAGTCACCTACTCCAGTGTTTTGTTATGGCAGATGGAGTAGATGAAGGCAGCTCAGGACCTCTACAAATGGGAATGAGCACAGCTGCACGGGTCTGAGCGGAGGCTTTGAACCTCCACCCACAGTGGGAAAGCGATACTCAAGACGCAGGTTGGCTACAGCCACGGGCACTGTCACTGAGATTAAAGGCTTCGTTTACTAAGCACTGCGTGTCCCTTTTCACAGTTGCAGCTATGGGCTTCTTTCATGCTGCTGGAGAATGCACGCATGAGGAGTGGCAGGCAGTCAAGATGGACGCTGAGCAGACAGAAGCACAATGAAAATGGACAGACAGACTGACCCAAAGACACAGAAGCCTCAGATCATCTGGGGGTAAGCAATCCTGCGTAGTGCAAGAGCTCTGAGAACGTGGCTGAGCTTCCTGGGTGCTGAGCAATGGTCCAAGCACATGCTTTCCTTCCGTGGGATCTTCAGAAAGGGCAGAAGTCAACACATGGGGTAAGTGTCTTCCAGTCGACATGACTGCAGAAAACTCGGGTCTGGAAATAGGTAGTGGTCATCTGTGAGACTCCCCCTTGAGGATCTATGTCTCCTGGGCATGTCCCATGCCAGGCTTGTTAGGTGCTTTAACAGTAACTGACCTGGATATCCCTAACTTTCTCCCAGACCAGCAGATACATCCCTGTGGTAGCCCCAAGTCGTATGGAAGAAAGTTCTCCCATGTGGAAAATGTCCTATCTCTTTACTCATTGCTGACCCCTCAAACGAATCGACTCTGACTCACTTTGATAATCTGACCACAGGGTTGGAGGTGGTGTGGCATTTAGTTTATAGGTAAGAAACATAACATCAACATTCCGAGTCTGATGTCACTGGGGTTTTTGGGAGTGGAGGACACTTGGTATTTTGCTTTTCTAGCTAATTGTGAACCAATATAAGAACGTAGGCCAACCTTTGAGAATAAAACAGCTGGTTGGATGGGCAGGCCTGGTGGTGTATGACAGTCCCTTGGTTTGTCCTCAAAGAAGAAAAATAAGGCTAGGAAACAGAGTGTACCTGACAGCAGGTATCACATGCAAGCTGACCACATCTGTAATGACACGTCAAGACCCTTGTTTCATGGGATGTTCCAGAACACAGGAACAAAGTGGCAGGAGGTGGAGGGTGGGAGGGGAGGTCTCAGATTTTGACGTGATATTCTCACTGTCTATAGCTCTAAAGCCATTTTGTCTTTATCTGGGATAAAGGAAAACTCTTTTATTGTACAACCCCTACTTCCTTCTCTTACCTCTCTAGGCCCTAAGTGAACTGGGAACCATGGTTACATGGCCGGCCTTTGAGAAGAGAACAGA